GTAAGCACCTATGACCCTCAGATGTCGAGACAACAGACTAAACTTCAAACCACTGAGTCGACATTGTTGTGTTGTGAAGTAGTTCGATCCTACAAATAATGTATATTCCTCGTATATTCACGCTAAAATCAAATACTAGTATGAAATTTAAGTGCGAGTACGGTTCATCCATATTCCTAATTAATGATATACACCTGATTAATTAGAAAACGAAAACTAACTCTTGATCGATAATATACGCATAACAGAGGACAATGTTTGATCAATCTGCTGAACCAGACTTTCAACAGATTACATTTGGAAATATTTTAATGGTGTAATTCAGCCTAAAAAAAAGATTCCATGATAGACACAACCGTCTGTAATAACAAAATTGTCTCCGATTAGACCTTAACTTGAACTGATATATATATATATATATATATATATATATATATATATATATATATATATATCGCATGAAAAAATCCCAAACATTGATTACCTGTATAACTCGTGTCTAAACCTAGTCTATTGTATGGTGTATGACCCAATAAATATTAGCATCAAGCAGAAAGTTTACCAAAACTTAGTTCATGTCTCTGACCTCCTGTTCACTGTCTTCATATTCAATTTTAATGTTCATCCAGGCAAGCCCAGTTAACCGTCAGAGGAAATAGAAGGAGCTGGAGCAAATCAACTTGCCTGACACCGGTCTTCATTTGGAATGGATCTGTGTGCTGCCCTCCATCCACAAACAGTTAGTACAGATTATCGTTAGAATTTCATATGATTTTGAGTATTGATTCAGGTACAGCATAGGTACTGAATAACGAGACTATCCACGTCTTACACGAAGCTCGGAATTCAATCACCGTTTAGAGTCCCCCACGTAATTTGGTTTTCGTAGATGACCTTGCTTATATTTCATGCACACCAGCGAATGCAGATAGAGACAGTTGAGGTAAAAGCATCCTGCACAGCAGTAGACCTCAACATACACGAGAGGAAAAGCAAGATTCTTGAATATAACCTTAGAGTCATCAAACAAATCGCACTCAGTAGAGAATCCTGCAAGAGTTGTAGAATTTCATGTGCCTGAGAAGTATAATCGGTAAAAAAGGAGGATGTGATGCAGACATTAAGGCAAGACTGGTGAGGTGAAGACAGCACTCCTAAAACTAATTAACATCTGCAACTCGAAACTTCTCAAAGTAACATATCCATAATTTCTGCCAACCAACAAGCTGCTGGTGAATAATAATAATAACAGTAAATGTCAATCAACACCAAAGTTAAGAGGCTTGATCCAAACGTCATGACAATCTTATTTTAGGGATCAGCAGAGTCAAGAACTAGTTCAGCCATCATCAAAAGTGTACAGATGTTTATAAACGGATGCCTACACAAGATACTTCAGATATATTGACACGTCATCAACGGCTATGCGATTCTGTTTTGAAGGCACGATTGATGAAGGAAAATATAAGCCCCAACAAATATTCGTCTAACGTGACTATTACACTTGGTTTTTTGACAGAAACATTAAATCTAAACTACAACCTGGAAGACCTCTCAAAGTTCCAGAAAACATCCATGGACATTGAGTTCCAGGAAGATGCCACTGCAGAACATTTTGAAAACAGTCGAACGATGTCTTTGAATGAACTCACTATGTTTTCCAGGTTTGCATCGTTTATTCTAATCTCCCCATCACTCGTGAGTGTCTCAGGGATAATTTGCCGCATTGAGCTAAATCAATACTAATTTGTGTTCAGTTGCTTTTGCAGAACAGGTTCGATCCGCTGTATAGAGCGAGGGCTTTCCAAACGCATATCCGAATATTATTTTGTGTGTCTTTCTAAAGGCGAATGATATCAAACGTTATTGTCTTCAAATTCTAGACAATTAAGCAAATTTCTCTAGCACGTGATATTATGTAATCACCCTCACACAGACTATTATATTTCTTGGTTAACAATTATTATGGTTTTACAGCTTGAGTAAGGAATATTATTGTAGAGGAATCATCACTCGTTGAATTGTCTCTAATGACAAAAAAGTGTTTAAATACAATGCCTCTTATTGTTTAGCCACTTAGACGAACAATCTTCACTGTAGATAAAGAAAAGAAATTGACAGTTAACATACATGATATACCACGGATATCATTGTTCACATGAGACTGTTGATATTCCAGTAAGATGCAACTGTAATCTTGAGAGGATTGGTGCTCCCTGATGGATTCGACCTCGTGTCACACAGCTTCACAGTCAGAGACGTTAGCATATATACTACAAAGCATATGATGTGGAATAATATTGATTACTGTACGGCCGTTTAGTCTTAATATCGGACTCCTCAGTCTGGGTGTTTAGCTATATGAAGAAATTCAGAGGACGTTCTGTAAAAGCCATCTTTTGCTTCGTCCGGTCTATATCCAATGGGAGCGTAGGCGAAAAAAACGAAAAGGAAACGACGTGTGTCCCTATCTTTTCGAATTCCTACTGAGCCGTTTGGTCGAACAGCACATAGACGGCTGTTAACGGGGATCCACTCTAACAGTACTTGTCCCGCCCTCGTGCTTAGAGTTATACCTACATCTGCCAGTACAGGAGACCTAGACATCGGGTCTTCTGATACATGGATGGTGCATCCTAGGCTACCCGTTTTGGCGAAGTGAAGTCAAGTGGATAAACACACGAGAATCCTGTATGCATGTTTCGGAGAAGCAGCATACATCAATGGTACGAGATCCTAGGGTTCAAGTCAAGCAAGCCTGCTGACCGATTTGACATAGGGTGCGTACAATGAAGGCCCCAATGTGTAGTATGGAGCGAGGTTTCAGTAGACTGGGACAGTGTTCTGCACAGTAGAATCGTTGGCTAGTGTGATACTTCAGGAGGAAGCCGAAAGAGGAATTTAGAGTCGAAATTCGATGTAGGCGGAATTTTAGGAATTAAAGAGAGAGGTTGATTATGAATACAGTGGTGTTGAGTGCTGTTAGAGGTATAAGGGCAGTTATCACTTCCCGGCTGCCCACAACGTGGAATGGTTTTTTAAGGAGGAATCTGAAGAGCGAATTGGGTTAGGTGTTGTCCTAGTGGTTTGGGAACGTTGCCGCAGTGCCCAAGGGACAACTGCTTGGAGTCGGTCACACACGACCTTTTGTGAGTAATTTTTTTGTTGCCTCCGTATTGTTGTGACCTTACCGCTGGGGACGGATATCCGTGAGATAAGGCGAGATGTGCATTATTAGGGTCGAAATTTTCTAACCACACCCTCCCCTGTGGGAAGGCACCATAGCTGTCATGCTGGTTTTCTTAAGGAAGCACCTTATTGCCGCCATACCTCTGTACAGCCAGAGGTAGGACTTCGTCGTCCGAACTTGGGTTTACTGCCGTTAGTCTTACCGCTCTTCAACTGATCTGTCTAGCATGGTTGTTCCAGTCAGTAAAACTTGATTGCTTAATCAAGAAAGGCAAGCCCGATCACCTCGTCAAGGTAGCAACGTCGGTCGAAACCAAGAAGTAAAGAATAAATCAATTGATGATCATAAATGTTTTATATTTTGTAATGATATTTTAGTAGACGGGAGAGTGTCAAGAGAAACTTCACTATTCTAGAAGTGAAAAGTGTCTCGTCAACAATTTATACGTAATTCTGTTAAAAATGTCACGAGATGCTAATAATCACTCACTCCGGGAGATCATTTCCGCAGTTCCAACGAAAAACCTAGAACACTATGATCCCACATGACTAAAAGTTGCGAAAATATCACAAGTAAAGTGAATCAGCATTTAGTTATTCAGTATGGGTTCTTGAATGATTTATCAGAGAGCAAACTAGAATTATCCAATTAAGTGAAATGTTCTAGTGATGTTCAATTATGTTAACGTGTTCACGATCGATAAGATCTTGTATCAGGCTTATATTATCCCACTATATCATACACATTTATGAACATCTTGTTGAACTGGCATAATACTCATCAACTATATGACCATGAAACTGGTAGTTTTTGTTCCATTGAATATATCTTATTAATCCGTATCGACAAATTTGGTTTTTAGTAATTTATATTTTCAAATCAACCTTAATGCATTTAACTGTTTGACTTGGCTATCTGGCATTCAACTAACCTACAACTGTCAGTTCAATGCAAATTTATGAAGCAAAATGCTGTCATTTGTTCGAAACTTGGTGTTGATGTTTACACCATTAAAAAAATCATTGATTATCTGAACACAAAAGCCGTATAAGTGGTAAGGAAACGGATATATTTACTTGATTATATGCATACGGTACCGCGGTTTCTAGAGTATAAACGCTATATCCGCCGTCTGTTCTTCTGTTTTATTGACCATAGCTTCTGATTGAACATTATCATGGTGTTATAACATCCTTTAGGGCGCTCTCATACTACGTTGGAGTGTTGGCACGGATCGTTAACCAATAATACGCCGTTGACGCAATCACGTGTAGAGGAATCTTTGTTAATCAAGTGAACCCATATGTGGTAGTTATCTCAGAGAGCAGCACACAAGTAACGTTCATCTCAATGACAACTACCATCACTTTGGTGTTAAATATAACATTTATATGGTAGCTGTAATTTTTTAACTTTAGCTGTACTCATAGACAGAAATTTAGTCATTTAATTTTAATCATACTTTGGTAAATTATTAGAAACTTTGGGTCTTGTTACATCGAGAATAAGATATACTTTCGGGATCCAACATAAATTGTCAAAGGTTAGTTGGATAAGTTGTACTTAATGTAAAATCTAAACGTGATTTTCATTGTACTGTTACATTAACGGATAAACCAACAATCGTTTGACATGATAGCTGGTCAATCATGCAGTATGTATAGTACGTGTGAAATGTGATAACCAGTAAACAAACTACTAGAACGACAAGTGATGCTGAGAATTATAATATATTCTAATGAGTTTGACAAAACATCAAGCACAGTCGAAGATGAGATAATCAAGAGCCAACTTTTCCGTTGTATATATTCAATGATTTCTACATTCGTGTTGTAGTTATTCCGTCTTCATTAATTGCCTCCTGAGATTGCGATGATTGCACTGGCCTACATAGGCTAAAATATTTGACAAAAGAGAAGCAATCAAGTTATGTTACTAGCAATCGAGTATTAAATTGTTTTGTAAAAAGAGTAGATTTCGAATGATCTCATACATTTAAATACAACCGAGGCTTTGATAGTACATCTTTTCAACCTCAGTCTTAATGTGCAGAAGTGCTCTGCCACTCATTCATATTTCCATAGTGTCCACATCCATTCTCGACTGCTACGTTCGAAAAAGGTCTATACGTTTCTCAAATACATCAGGCATACATTTTTCAAATCTCTCTCCTGTGTTAATTGTAATCTTACCAGTTCCCGACGATTACGTTATTTTAAAAGTGTTTGCACATCTATTGATGTCTTTATTATTAGTGTAAGAACTATCTATCTTTTCGCAAATTACCGTGTGATAAATGGCTGCGAATAGAATGATGCAGTCTGAGTAAGTGACATTATGACATGGTCAGTACTCATTGATCAATCATTTTCAACCATTCATTACTCGTTCTGGTTGATGAAACGATGATTTTCGATTAGTCGTAATTCTTAATTTCTCATTATAATGATACTCAGATAGCCGCATTAAAGTATTTCTCTACTTAATTCCATTTTATTTAGAATCATTTCCTGTGTCACAAGTAGTTCATTATGGGTCATAGAGGGATTACCTCTCATGACAATCAGTAGAATTATCAGTTATCTCCTTGAAGTGTATATACAAATAGGCAGAGTGACAGATAGATAGTTAGAAAAATAGAATGCGCTATCATGTTCATTTAACTAATTCACATTGTCAGAATAGTTTCTATTTCGTTCTTTGATATGACTACTTTATCGTATATACGGTATAAATGCATTTATCACTCATTTCCATAGATTATCTTTCTCATATTTAAGAACTTACCTAGAACCTTCACGATATCCATTTCGAGTTGCTATTTCTACTTCACTTGGTGATGCTAACGAAATTGTTGTAGTACAATGTCTGTTCTTCATTTTCAATATACGATTAGAGTCGAGTGAAATATCCATTCCGTCCACGTTAACATACATTTGTCCTAAAGTTTAAAAAGCGGTTAACTATGATTAGTGAGGCTACAACGTAAGACATGTTGATTGAATTGTGAATCATATCACAAATCCAATCGAATTGCGTGTTACTATTACTCCTACCCCTACAACTACTACAACTATACCTACTCCTCTTCTCTCCTACTCCTCCTCCTCCTCCTCCTACTACTACTACTACTACTCCTACTACTACTACTACTACTACTACTACTACTACTATTACTACTACTACTACTACTACTACTATTACTACTGTAGTGGATAGAGATTTGGTGAGGACAGCCAGTTTATTGTTTTATTTAGAATCACACAATGCCTTTGTAAAATATGAAAATCTTACATTTAATACATCACGTGAATATATTCCTTCAATTGGCCTTTACACACTTCATTATTCTTCCGATCCTGTTATTATTTCGACTGCTATTCGTTTCCTTCCCTCTTCTCTTCACCTCACTGTTTAGACGGTAGGTATTCTACTTCCAATTCCTACTATCTACTAATTATGTGTGTCCGTGCATACCACACTACCACACTACTACTACTATTACAGACAATAGCAATAATAATGATAAGTATATTAATAATGAATAAATAATTCACATACCTGTCTCGTCAAACTCAATTGGTACTGCAAATGTGGCTGATTCAATTTTCATTATGCTTAATGTGAATAAAATCACTACGGCAATATACAATTTGAACATGTGGGATATCATTCCTACAGTTGATATTAATAGTAGAAAGCATCACACTATGACTGACATTTTCATGAAAATAAGCAAATATTAAATCATCTCTGTACAAAACTAACTTAATTTGATACACCATTTGATTATGTTAATTTGATGTTCTTAATGCTGAATATCGGTACAAAACTGCTCTCTATTTCCTAGCACCAAATTCATCTATATTCACTCATGGTCACTTTGATATTTTCTCATTTATACATATGTATAGAGTGATTATAATCAGTGGACTGTGTATGATCTACACTATGATTTTGTACTGACTGAGCAGTCCCATATTAGGACGAAACAGTCATCCAGTGCTTCTAGGTTTTCCATGGCGGTCTAGATTTAATTGACTCATGAATTCAACTATTAGATGTTAATTTCTTTGGGAAAACCTACAGTCACTGTCAAGTTTACGTTTCATGATTAACGTGGATGAAAATTTTGTGGAGTTGTCAATGAACCTTGAAATCTTACATTATTTCATTTTGCTTCTCATTAGTAGTGCAATAGTACACCTGTTCGACAATCGTCCATTCGTACAATTTACCCATTATGTGCAGTTTCGTAATCTATTTCATTGTGATCGTTGATCCATAATTTCCATTGATCAGTTTAATATTTTCACATGTCCATAGAGTAAAATCTGATAAAGATCGTATTGACAACATTAGTGTTCGCTCATATGTGTTGTCTTAGTCTTGAATTCAACAAACGAATTCTTGTTTCGTAAGTGGGTTACAATGCGTTTTACATACATAATACAGACATGGAGTATGCGGATGGACTCATACACTTGTGTACCTGAAATAAACTCATTGTAATGCATCTCCTAAACTTCTGTGAATTACCAAGTCAGAAGATAGGTAAACAAGCTCAGTCACAGATTACATTTCGTTATGAAAATATTACAGAATAACTTACTGCAATTGTCCTATTATTGTTAGAGATATGACTTGGAGGAGTGAACAATTTATACAGATGAATTGAACGATAAGCCAATGAAAAACCGTTGTATGAGATTAAATGTAGGTTATGAACCATAATGTACCGACATAAACTACAGTTTTATACGGAAAAAAAACACCTAACGATTTAATGCAACAAAATCTATAATGTAAATAAAAAGGGTTATTTGTTGATCAATGATTAGATAATCCGATTAAATGATTAAATAGAGTTTACAGAACATTTTGGAATGTTTATTGTTGACAAATCCGCCGTTCATATGTATTCATAAATATGTATGAGTGAACTCAAATTACATCGTTTTCTCGTTTACGTAGTAGCTGTATGGCAGTGATGCTTGCATTGATTGATGTTCAATCATAGACATATGTACTGATCGAACGGCAAGTGATAGATAATCAATGTAATCAGTGTTCTTCCAGACCAAACGGCACGTAAAATTTGGGTGGGCGCTATCAAATTACTAAATGTTTCGTTGATCAAGGGATTTCCCCTACAGTTGTACTTACGAGCAACCTAATGTGTCATCAATAATAGGAGTTTTTTGCCGATCAATTATTTGTTAATCCGAATAAATGAATAAATGGAGTTTGCAAATCATTCGTTTATTTCATACTAATTAACATTTTTAATACTATCTATATTTATGTACATCAGAATGTAAATTCATGGTGATTGTATTTATTTTAATAATTGAACTTATGAACAGATCTAAGCTGGACCATTGTTGAAAAACTGGAAGCACTGGACTACCGTTTCGTTCTATGATAGGAGGCCTCTGTGTTCCAGAGCTTACGCCTTTGCGCGCGAGTTCAAAGATTTTTAGGGTTCTGGTTCCTCTCCTATAGTGCTGATGAATGCCATGCTAAGAAGAAACAATCGTCCACTGCTTCCAGATTTGCAATGGTGGTATAAATTAGAGCGATTCACAAGTCCAATCATTTATTGAAATTCAGTCTTCAGTAGTAAGAATATTACGTCAGTGAAGCTGTGTTAAACCTCGAAGCTTGAAGTCCTTAGATTATCTTTCTTCGAATTCTCGACATTTGAGCAGAATTTTTCAACATGTGATATGATATTGTAGTGTGGCGTGGAGTCGCGGTTGACTATGATCGCCACTACAGGAAGACTACGTGCCAGTTAACCGATAAGATCCACCGTAGGCCAAATATCAGAAGACATTTGATGGCTGCACTTGAGATGTATTTTTGGCAATCTGGTGTTATCGAAGGAATACCGAGATCCTGCTAAAGGAGTACAAGTGTTGATACTGAGCGTAACCAAATTCTTGCAAGATCGCAATCAATGGAAGAATGCATGTGTTTTGGTACAGTTAAATAAACAAATACAGTAAAACAAACACTGGTACGAATGGTAATAATAATAAATGTTTCCATTACACAAATCGCTTTCCGTTGATAAAAGTGGGTCAATACAATTTACTCACCGTCACATGTTTAAATAGACTATTTCATTTGTTGCTTAACAATCAATATGGTTGTACAACATGAGTAAGGAGCCTTCACTCGTCGAATTATCCTTAAATCCTTCTAATATGACACCATATGATAATTTAGATAGCCAGAAATTCTTCTGAATAAACAGCGCCTTTGAGATCACTATAAACAATATAAAACTATTCCCACAAATTTACCAAAACCAATACTGATACTAATTTTTATTCGATGACAAACAAGTGTTTAAATAATATGCCCATCATTGATAAGCCATCCAAAAAAACATTCGTCACAAGAGATAATGAAAACGAAAAGACAATTGACTTACGTGATAAACCAGTAATATTATTGTTTAACTTAGATTGTTGATGTTACATCAGGTTCCTCTTAAGTACAACAGTAGGGGAAATCCCTTGATCAACGAAACATTTAGTAATTTGATAGCGCCCACCCAAATTTTACGTGCCGTTTGGTCTGGAAGAACACTGATTACATTGATTATCTATCACTTGCCGTTCGATCAGTACATATGTCTATGATTGAACATCAATCAATGCAAGCATCACTGCCATACAGCTACTACGTAAACGAGAAAACGATGTAATTTGAGTTCACTCATACATATTTATGAATACATATGAACGGCGGATTTGTCAACAATAAACATTCCAAAATGTTCTGTAAATTCTATTTAATCATTTAATCGGATTATCTAATCATTGATCAACAAATAACCCTTTTTATTTACATTATAGATTTTGTTGCATTAAATCGTTAGGTGTTTTTTTCCGTATAAAACTGTAGTTTATGTCGGTACATTATGGTTCATAACCTACATTTAATCTCATACAACGGTTTTTCATTGGCTTATCGTTCAATTCATCTGTATAAATTGTTCACTCCTCCAAGTCATATCTCTAACAATAATAGGACAATTGCAGTAAGTTATTCTGTAATATTTTCATAATGAAATGTAATCTGTGACTGAGCTTGTTTACCTATCTTCTGACTTGGTAATTCATAGAAGTTTAGGAGATGCATTACAATGAGTTTATTTCAGGTACACAAGTGTATGAGTCCATCCGCATACTCCATGTCTGTATTATGTATGTAAAACGCATTGTAACCCACTTACGAAACAAGAATTCGTTTGTTGAATTCAAGACTAAGACAACACATATGAGCGAACACTAATGTTGTCAATACGATCTTTATCAGATTTTACTCTATGAACATGTGAAAATATTAAACTGATCAATGGAAATTATGGATCAACGATCACAATGAAATAGATTACGAAACTGCACATAATGGGTAAATTGTACGAATGGACGATTGTCGAACAGGTGTACTATTGCACTACTAATGAGAAGCAAAATGAAATAATGTAAGATTTCAAGGTTCATTGACAACTCCACAAAATTTTCATCCACGTTAATCATGAAACGTAAACTTGACAGTGACTGTAGGTTTTCCCAAAGAAATTAACATCTAATAGTTAAATTCATGAGTCAATTAAATCTAGACCGCCATGGAAAACCTAGAAGCACTGGATGACTGTTTCGTCCTAATATGGGACTGCTCAGTCAGTACAAAATCCTAGTGTAGATCATACACAGTCCACTGATTATAATCACTCTATACATATGTATAAATGAGAAAATATCAAAGTGACCATGAGTGAATATAGATGAATTTGGTGCTAGGAAATAGAGAACAGTTTTGTACCGATATTCAGCATTAAGAACATCAAATTAACATAATCAAATGTGTATCAAATTAAGTTAGTTTTGTACAGAGATGATTTAATATTTGCTTATTTTCATGAAAATGTCAGTCATAGTGTGATGCTTTCTACTATTAATATCAACTGTAGGAATGATATCCCACATGTTCAAATTGTATATTGCCGTAGTGATTTTATTCACATTAAGCATAATGAAAATTGAATCAGCCACATTTGCAGTACCAATTGAGTTTGACGAGACAGGTATGTGAATTATTTATTCATTATTAATATACTTATCATTATTATTGCTATTGTCTGTAATAGTAGTAGTAGTGTGGTAGTGTGGTATGCACGGACACACATAATTAGTAGATAGTAGGAATTGGAAGTAGAATACCTACCGTATAAACAGTGAGGTGAAGCGAAGAGGAAAGGAAACGAATAGCAGTCGAAATAATAACAGGATCGGAAGAGTAATGAAGTGTGTAAAGGCCAATTGAAGGAATATATTCACGTGACGTATTAAATGTAAGATTTTCATATTTTACAAAGGCATTGTGTGATTCTAAATAAAACAATGAACTGGATGTCCTCACCAAATCTCTATCCACTACAGTAGTAATAGTAGTAGTAGTAGTAGTAGTAAGAGTAGTAGTAGTAGTAGTAGTAGTAGTAGTAGTAGGTAGTAGTAGGAGTAGGAGTAGTAGGAGGAAGAGGAGTAGGAGTAGGTATAGTTGTAGTAGTTGTAGGGGTAGGAGTAATAGTAACACGCAATTCGATTGGATTTGTGATATGATTCACAATTCAATCAACATGTCTTACGTTGTAGCCTCACTAATCATAGTTAACCGCTTTTTAAACTTTAGGACAAATGTATGTTAACGTGGACGGAATGGATATTTCACTCGACTCTAATCGTATATTGAAAATGAAGAACAGACATTGTACTACAACAATTTCGTTAGCATCACCAAGTGAAGTAGAAATAGCAACTCGAAATGGATATCGTGAAGGTTCTAGGTAAGTTCTTAAATATGAGAAAGATAATCTATGGAAATGAGTGATAAATGCATTTATACCGTATATACGATAAAGTAGTCATATCAAAGAACGAAATAGAAACTATTCTGACAATGTGAATTAGTTAAATGAACATGATAGCGCATTCTATTTTTCTAACTATCTATCTGTCACTCTGCCTATTTGTATATACACTTCAAGGAGATAACTGATAATTCTACTGATTGTCATGAGAGGTAATCCCTCTATGACCCATAATGAACTACTTGTGACACAGGAAATGATTCTAAATAAAATGGAATTAAGTAGAGAAATACTTTAATGCGGCTATCTGAGTATCATTATAATGAGAAATTAAGAATTACGACTAATCGAAAATCATCGTTTCATCAACCAGAACGAGTAATGAATGGTTGAAAATGATTGATCAATGAGTACTGACCATGTCATAATGTCACTTACTCAGACTGCATCATTCTATTCGCAGCCATTTATCACACGGTAATTTGCGAAAAGATAGATAGTTCTTACACTAATAATAAAGACATCAATAGATGTGCAAACACTTTTAAAATAACGTAATCGTCGGGAACTAGTAAGATTACAATTAACACAGGAGAGAGATTTGAAAAATGTATGCCTGATGTATTTGAGAAACGTATAGACTTTTTTCGAACGTAGCAGTCGAGAATGGATGTGGACACTATGGAAATATGAATGAGTGGCAGAGCACTTCTGCACATTAAGACTGAGGTTGAAAAGATGTACTATCAAAGCCTCGGTTGTATTTAAATGTATGAGATCATTCGACATCTACTCTGTTTACAAAACAATTTATACTCGATTGCTAGTAACATAACTTGATTGCTTCTCTTTTGTCAAATATTTTAGCCTATGTAGGCCAGTGCAATCATCGCAATCTCAGGAGGCAATTAATGAAGACGGAATAACTACAACACGAATGTAGAAATCATTTAATATATACAACGGAAAAGTTGGCTCTTGATTATCTCATCTTCGACTGTGCTTGATTTTTGTTGAACTCATTAGAATAAATTATAATTCTCAGCATCACTTGTCGTTCTATTAGTTTGTTTACTGGTAATCACATTTCACACGTACTATACATACTGCATGATTGACCAGCTATCATGTCAAACGATTGTTGGTTTATCCGTTAATGTAACAGTACAATTAAAATCACGTTTAGATTTTACATTAAGTGCAACTTATCTAACTAACCTTTGACAATTTATGTTGGATCCCGGAAATATATCTTATTCTCGATGTAACAAGACCCAAAGTTTCTAATAATTTACCAAAGTATGGTTAAAATTAAATGACTAAATTTCTGTCTATGAGTACAGCTATAGTTAAAAAATTACAGCTACAATATAAATGTTATATTTAACACCAAAGTGATAGTAGTCGTTATGAAATTAATGTTACTTGTGTGCTGCTATCTGAGATAACTACCACATATGAGTTCACTTGATTAACAAAGATTCCTCTACACGGGATTGCATCAACGGCGTATTATTGGTTAACGATCCGTGCCAACACTCCAACGTAGTATGAGAGCGCCCTAAAGGATGTTATAACACCATGATAATGTTCAATCAGAAGCTATGGTCAATAAAACAGAAGAACAGACGGCGGATATAGCGTTTATACTCTAGCAACCGCGGTACCGTATGCATATAATCAAGCCAATATTTCTGGTTCTTCACAATTGATACAGAGAAACAAAAGATATTCAGTATAGGTGTGGCTACATATAAATTGTGACAAATTATTGAAACGATATAAGTTTTATTTTGTCGTTAGAAAGATCATTGGATATACGTGTCACAATATAACTCCGCCACTATATGGCATATATCAGTGTATGCATGCCCAAATTAAACTCTAATTGCATTGGTGGGAAACAAATTATTGCACAACACACAACAAAGTAATTTATAATAAGAATAGTGTCATAACATTAAGACATGTATATATCATGTAAACAATCAGTGATAAAATAAACGAGTACAACAAAGTTGAACATCGTTACACACTTAATATTGAACTTCATATGGATCGCATATACATGTTTGGATAATATAACGAATTCATCACTGGTAATAGTACATGCGAAATGATGTTTTACTAAAAGCTGTTTGCAATTAAATGTTATGAGCAACTCTGTTAGTATGTAGATATTTACTCGCACAACTAAAAATGATAGAATGAAGATTAAGAAATGGATTCAACATAACCTTTGGGAATATGGACTTGTTGTCCTGTACGAGTTGTTTTCACAGTAAGTAAGGTGATGGAATTAGGAACTAAATTCGTGGGAGCTATTACTTTAGTATCATCCCTAGTAAGAGGTGTTAATTTCGCAGAAGCAGTGGAAGAATTGTCTGGAAACGCAGAGAGCCATGTTGTGCGATTGCTGCTGTATTTAGATGGCTTTCGACTGTCATGTGTGTCAGACGCTACAAAAGCAATTTTCCGCCTATCAATTGAAACCGTCTTCTTTTTTCTTTCTTCTTGATTGTGAAATATTTTGCTCGCCCCTCCACTACTTCATAAGGTCCGTCATAGGGGTGTTGTAAAGGACGTTTTACAGAGTCAACACGAATAAATAAAAATTTACATGTATCTAAATGTTTTCTAATTTCCTCTTTTAAGACAATCAAAAACATTTTTCTGCACACTGTCGGCACAAATGGTCTGTGTGTTCCAGTCAAAGCATCACAAGTTATGGTAGAGTCATAATGTGGTTTTGGAACACATTTTAAAAGTAGACTTGAATTTTGTTTACAAGCAGCATAATCAGAATCATCCGACTGTAAACGTGAAATGTCTAAGAAATCGATTACTTTGATGTATCAAATAGCATCGACGTCGAAACATGATATAGTATTCGCCACAACGTTTGACTTGGCTTTTATAAACTGTATGTTGATCGAGAATTGGGAAATATAATTTAGTTGTTAAATTTTTCTTGGAGAATAAAGATTGCGTTTAGCATCAATGCGTCAGTCGAACGTTTATGATTAGTGAGTATCTCTACCTTGCAGTAAGTGTTTAAAATCTTTAACTGCTAAGTAAATAGCCAATAATTCTCTACCAAAAGTGCTGTATCGCGTTTGAGTTGGTTGTAGTTTCTTTGAGATGAAACCAAGTGGATATATTTCATTATTTACTCACAGTTGTACCTCACCTACTGCTGCTTGGGGCGCGTCTGAACACATAATAAGTGTAGATTGCGGTTCAGAACATAAGTACGTTAGTATTGTAGCAGACGAATTTGCTGTTCTAGCTACAGAAGAAGCGTCTTTCGCTTCGGAAGATGATAGGAACGTTTTGGCTTTGCCTTTTGACACCCCTGTTGAAGGTCGTGAGATGGCTGAGCAGTGCAGAATAAACCGACGATAAAAATTGATCATCTCCAAGAAACATTGAGATTCATTCAACGAACCTGGTCCTGAAATTTTTTGATGGCTGTAGTCTTTGTGTCTAATGGTTTGATATTACGATCGTCAATCGAGTGCCCTAAAAGTTCCAAGCTCTCGACCCAAAAAATGCATTCGGATGAGTTAATAACTATACCAAACCTCTGAAGTCTTTCGAGTATTTGATGTAGGTGATCAGTATGTTCGTAGAACGAACTGACGGACATTAATACATCGTCGAGATACACGTAAAAAAAATCTAGGCCATTAGTGGCCTCATTAATAAATCACTGAAATGTCTGTGCGGCGTTATTTAATTCAGATGGCGTTCCCAGAAACTCAAACAAACCAAATCGAATGACAGTGGCACCTGTTTTGTGTATCCTCGGATGATACTGGCATCTGACGGCACGCTCGAACAAGATCCATTTAAGAAAAATTTGTTTACCGTGTAGCGTAGGCGGAAAGTCGTGCAAACGGGGAATGGGGTAACGATCACGTAACGTTGGGTTATTCGGTGACCGATAATCACCACAGGGTCTCCAATGCTGACCCCGCTTAGGTACCGCACTGAGTGTGTATGCCCAGGAGCTACTTGAAGGACGTATATTTCCAAGTCGTATCATTTGCTCGAATTCAGCTTTTGCAACAGTTATTTTGTACGGTGGTAACCGACGTTGACGTTTCGAGATTAGTTGGCCTTCTGTTATGATTCGATGTGCTACGGAATGTTGTAAGGTGCTTCACCATTAGTCAGTCAGTCAGCTACAACGCAGGACCAGGCACATATATGTATCGGTCCAGGTTGCCATACCGGATTAGCACAGCAAGATGAACACCGGATTCTTAGGAGTGGTTAGGTCGGGGTGCTTCACCACAGTCTGGTTTCGCTATCTTGGGAAATTCGGATAAAATATTGGCGAATATATCGTTTACCGGATGCTGATTTTAATACTGTGTATATGATAATTCGACGGAAATCACAGAACGTTCGCACTTCAACACTGATTAATAAGCTGTAGGAGCTTAAGAAGCATGCATTTAATGTAGAGTGACGGACATGAGTGATTATAAACACCGAAGTTCGACGTCAAGAATTGTTTTCCAAATGTCTTTATTTCAGTTTTATTAGCCGCCATTTTATGTGTATTTTCCACTTGAAGCAAAAGATCTCTTCGCCAAAGTAACTGGATTAACGATAAATTCGGCCCCAGTGTCATTAGGTCACAAGCATTTTAATTAGAAATGGTGGTAGGTAGTAGTGATGTCCGAGAAGCACTCTTTTTGACATTTGTCCAACGTGCCATATAGAGGATTACTTAAGAATGATGAGTGGAATATTATTTTTGAAACACTAACTACAGTACACCCAGCTTACAACAAACACAGATCGCGAGATGTGTGAATAGATTCTTAGATCTTATTGTCGCGTATTGATGCAAGAATGATTGCCTGTGTTTGTTTATAATTTGATGCGTTAGGGAGAGATTATTGCATTTAGACAGATATATTCAATAGAACATAGACGACCAGTTTCATGGTCATATAGTTGATGAGTATTATGCCAGTTCAACAAGATGTTCGTAAATGTGTATGATATAGTGGAACAACATAGGCTTGATAAAGTTCTCATCGACAGTGAATGCGTTAGCATAATTCATCATCACAAGAACATTTCACTTAATTGGATAATTCTAGTTTGCTTTCTGATGATTCATTTAAGAACCCATACTGACTAGCTGAATGCTCATGCACTTCACGTTACAATAAAACCTATATGCTATTCACTAGCAAATTCAAATTTGCTGTGGACGGAATCGAATTGTGTTTTGTAGTTATTAAAGATTACAACAGAACATGAAACACGTAATAACACATTAACTATTATAACTGTACACCACATTCGACACTTGCTGCTTGTGTCTATGTGTCCATCATGTATGTTTAGCCTATGCACAGCTCTGTCGCATCGTATTGAGTGTTCACAATTCTCATTTCCACCTTCTCCAGCTTTCTGGATTTAGAAATTATTTGAGGCATCGTTATAGATAAAGTGGACACAAAATTAGAACTGGACCGTCTATCTGAAGTACGTTTCCCTCACACTTATCACATGTGATATGTTCCTCACTTTTACCCATGTGGAATTGCAGTATTCTAGGTATCTCACTAGAACTCCGGAAAGATCTTTCGGAGGTAGTGCACAGTATGTATCTCTTGACATTCACAGCATAAGGGTTCAGATTTCTTGGATGAACATAATTAATTAGATAAACTGTCCAGTGTTCCTTGTTCTTCGGTGGTTTATTAACTGATTCCAACTTCAAAGTCAGCTTGTCATCCATATGGGAAAAGTGACATGAGAATTAAGCATGAACCGCTCCACTTTTAGAATACTGAAGTTTTTCTTAACACTGTCCCGTCTACTAAAATGTCTTTCAATACCACAGATGCACCTTCATTGGAGAAACGTGCAGCTCTAGAGCAGAATGCTTTCAAATTGTAAGCGGTAAGAAAATCGTGTTCTTGATCA